GGGTTGAAAGGGACCTTTAAAGATCATCTAGGCCAGCCCTCACTGCCATGGGCAGGTACATCTTTCACTAGATTAAATGCTTTAAATGATGCTCAAAGCCCTACCCAACCTGTCTTCAGCACTTCCAGGGATAGGGCATCCACAACTTCTCTGGGCAACCTCTTTCAGTGTCACACCACCCTCATAGTAAAGGATTCTGTCATGATATCCAATCTAAATCTACCCTCTTTCAGCTTAAAAACACTGCCCCTTGTCCTGTCACTAGGGGCCATGGTAAATAGTCTTTCTCCATCTTTGTTATATGCTGCTTTTAAGTATTGGACAGCCACAATAACATCTCCCCAGAGACTTCTCTTCTCCAGACTGAACAACTCCAACTCTGTCTTCCTTCATAGCAGAGGTGTTCCAGCCCTCTCTCTCTCTTTGGTCATTTTTGTGTCCCGCCTCTGGACCCAGAGGTTTTTCTCGTACTGGGAACCCTGGAGCTGGACACAGTGCTCCAAGTGGGGTCTCATGAGAGCAGAGTAGAGGATAAGAACAGCCTCCCTTGACCTGCTGGCCACACTCCTTTTGGTGCAGCCCCAGGTAATTGTCCTTCTGGGCTGCAAGTGTTCACTGCTGGCTCATATCCAATTTCCCACCTACCAATATCCTGAAGTCCTCTTCTGCAGCACTGCTCTCAATCCATTCATCAGACTGTACTGATACTGGGGACTGTCCTGACTCAAGTGCTCATCTGCTGTGTTCAGAATTTCATTTCTTTTAATGTTTCTGTTCTGTTTTTCCGCCAGGTACACCACATCCAAAAGTTGACTTATAAACTCTAAACAACGCTGAATGAACTCTTGTATCCTAGGGGCCTGAGTGTGACTGCTTCTAAGGGAACCATAATGTGAGGACTATTTCCTGCCACCCAAAATACATCTGCTGTTTATCTCCCCACCAGCTTAAGAATCTTGCATTCAATTCCAGCACAATTTTTTTTTTTTTCAGTAAAGCTTCAGATTTGATCCACTCCTTACAGCCATGACATTCCTGACGACTTGGCAAAAGACCTTATTCTACCTCAGCAGTAGTTTCTTTTAGCATCAGTTAAGAAAATAATTTAGGTTCTTCTTCAGCTATGCAGAAGCAACACTCCAGAGATAAGTAATAGGCTGCTTTACAGCTAAAAAGTTTAGATGTATGGGTGAGAAGCCAGAGTTCAATCTCATGCAATGCTAAACATCTCATTTGGAAAAAGTGCTGAAGTTGTTCTTCCTGATGCAACTTCTGTGTTCTTCCACCTGTGACCTTGATCTTCAGTAAGATGTTAAACTACAGTGGAAAGCTCCTGATCCCTCCCAGGAGAGAATTGTTTCCTGTGATAAACACAACTGCAGCACCAAGATCACACTATTTACCTATATTTGCTAGGTCTTGATTCAAAAATTATTAGTTTCAAAATTATCAGATAAGACCATATTTTGACTATGTTGAACTTCAGTCAAGTTTGCTATTTTATTGCCAAATCAGACATTTACTGAAAATGTATACTGTAAGTTTGTATCAGACGCCTCTACATATAAAAAATATTTGACAGAAAAGCTGGTGCATAGAAAATAAAAATGAAAAGCAATTCTCAGCCTACAGTCTACATGAAGAACTTTTCTTCTCAGCAAAGCTTTAAAGGAATCAACCACAATATAGCTCATAACAGCAACAGTAATTATGCTGTGAAAGAAGCAATATCCAGAACAAGAATTCTATCTTTGCTAACCATGCCACAACTATAATCACAAACACACACCACCAGGACTAGCCAAAGGACAGTACTAGTGGGAATGGGATGGGGCATTAAAGCATCTGGGTAAAATCCTAGGGCAGCTAGTGCTCACCATGACATTTACACTTAATCTGAGTCATTCATATCGTAATCCGTTTCTTCATCCTCACTCTGAGTGGCATGCAGCATGCAGCAAGTATAGAGAAAGGAAGGGAAAAGAAGACATTGCAAGTGAGTCAGAGCTCCAACAAGTACAGTCCACTTACACTTGAAGCATCTGAGAACGACATTTATTTATTTTTGTCTGGGACCCCCACTCTTTGTAAGAAAGTATGACAGCAAACAATTTCAAGGAGGAACAATACAGATGTTATTAAAATTTCCTTTTTCAAATGTCCTAAAGTCAGCAGACAGAAGCCAATAGTGCCATGCAACATAACAACAGAGACCATAACTATAGAGAAAATTTAAAAGAAACTGTAAAGCTGATACCTTAAACTCCATGAACTCTTTGCCACAGATGGGAAAGGACAGCACTTGAGAATCTAAACTTTGGATGCAGACATTATGAACAAGCTTTAGTGATTTGTCCCAAGAGTGACAGGTCAATAAAGCGGTATGAAAGAGATGAATGCTTCTGGGAATACAGGTTATCTTTCAGTAGTGCCATGGCTACCAGTAAAAGCCACTGGAACCATTTAAGTCAATGTCCCAAATTGCCATTAATTTCCTTCACTTAGATGTATTTGAAGGTTACACAGAAGTCAACTACTAAGTTACTATGCAAACTGTTTTCCAAAAAAGAAAACACAAGAAAAAAAGTCTCTACGAAGGAATGAAGGTGAAGCTTGATTAGATGGGCTATTAGAAAATGTTTTTTCCTATTCTGAAGTCCAGTACTATTAATTAAAATTGAAATGCTTGTCAATAAAAATTACATACTGTCAGTTTTTTGTTTTCTGTAATCCACCCTTGCTGTAAAAGTAACAGGAAAACCTTCTCATGGCTTCTAAAAGTCAGTCCCAGTACATGAACACATTATTCTGTACATATCATTGGATACCAGAATTTAAACCATATAAACCTCATGAAGATCAACTCAGACACTAATGAACAGATTGCAGACTAGAGGATTAACACTGGCTAAAAGGGAACTATTGAGACAACAGCTCCCAAGGTCCAGTCAAGATCCCAAAACACAGCTGTCTGAAACCTCCCAACCAAGAATTTTGCTTGTTTTCTTCTGTTTTTTTGTTTTGTTTTGTTTTGTTTTTCCAGGCACAACATATACCTACTAAAATATAATTGATCTATTAGATACATAATATATATATAAAAAATATTCTTTAAGTATTCTCATTAATTGCTAGCAGCAGCTCAACTCTTCTAGGACAAAAGGAGTGAATGTTTCTATCTCCAACCAAAATTAACAGTAATTCTTATTCATCACTCTGGTCAAATTATGCTCTGCTCTCTTCTCTGAAACAATGATGAAGCACTTCAATGGTGAAACCTTAAGATTTAGCTTCTCTCAGGGTTACTGAATTTACAGAGTTGTACAGCTCTCTGAACTAGCTTTTGTATTTAGGGTTTAATACATACATGTTTTATTTCAGTTACGTACCTCAGCCCTAAATTATTACCACACACCTCTTTAACTTGTCATCTTTTAAAGTTTTCCTGAAGCATCCTGTCAAAAGCAGACTTCGACTAGGGTTTTGGAAAGAGCAAGTCGTGGCTTACCCAGCTTCACTGTTTACCCTTGACTACATCAATCCCTTACAACTCTTTGGAAGTTTTATCTCAACAGTGACAAAAGAGCATAAATTAATCATTTCACTAAGAATCCAACATAAAGCTTGGAGTATTTTTATAGTGCAATTTACAAAAATGTGTAGCTGCATAACCAAGTTACAAGGCACAGAAAGTAGTGAAGTTTTATCTATTTGAGGCCTCAGTGCCAAGATCCAGATCAGTTATTAGCACTATTTCAAAATTAATTTTCTTTGAAGGTAAGTCTTGAAAAAGCAACCTTTGATGTTTTAACAATTATTTCCCATCTACATATACGAAATTAAAAGCTTTTAAGCCAACTACAGAAGTAACCAGTTTGTCTGCAGTCATCTCAAAGCAACAATGCAATGATAAAAACTGCTCAATATGCATGGAAGAGAAAAATACACTTACATACATAACTGGTCTGCTTTATTACTATTCAGTTGTGAGTTTACATTTTCCCTTGTATAAATTCTGAAAGATAACTGAGTAAAATGCGAAGATATTGTGCCCATTGCAATCTTTTTGTAAAGCTGGTTACAGAACATAAAGAGAAGTAGGTAGAAACCTGAAAATATTAAGCTAACAAATACCTTCATTTTATAACATATTGCACATGACTATGTTTTCAGAGAGAGCATATTACAATCTCAATTCTTGACAGTAAGATTTCTTCAGTTGAACTCAAGCAAGAAAAACAGTTTTCAACTGAACCAGTGGCATAACAAGGAAACATTCAAATGTGTAAGAAACAAAACCAGTACAGAGTACTATATTTAAAGAACCTATTTCGTATAACAAATGCATGCTGACTGCACCATTTACAGTCCCTCATACAATGGACAGGGAAATGTTATTAGTCATGAGTGAGGGGGAAAAAGGCAATTAAATAATGGTGCAGGAACAGAGGCAGGCCTAGCATGACTGAGTGAAGCCCATCCAATTTGATACCATTTCTTTAGTCCAATGTGTAGTAACTTACCTTTGCTTTTTCACTGGGTTCACTGGTTGTGCCATAGGGAGTGTTATGCAACTCCTTTGAAACAACACACAGAAATTCAGCCTGATCTTCATTGCCATAGTTATAGGAAGAACCAATACTGACCAGCTGAAAGATGAGGCGGGGGAGGGAAAGAAAACATCAATTGCATTTCCACATAAAACAAATTCCATAAATTCTCATTATTAGTATAAACACTCCTCCCTCTTCAGACTGTTGGTTGTGCCTGAAGCATGATTCTCCACTTCAACGCAAATATGCTTTGATGTTGACAAGCACGTTGACACTCTCGATGATAAGATAAACATAGCTTTTCATTTTAAACATTTACAGAATTAATGATTTATGGTTATGATTACACTGTGAAAAAAAAAGGTTACAGAGGCAGGCCAGTGAAGAAGTAGCCTGTTCCCCGTTTCTGTTATTTACTGGAAACCTTTCCATATTCCAAAGTTATTTTTTAATAAGTTTGGATGTGGTATTTTAATGTGGCATGATTTAACATGCAAATGGCTGCATGCAGGAAGCACTTTAGCCTGAAGAGATATCTACCATTTTACTTACAGAATAATGGTACTTCTATTAAAACATATTTTGAGTGGACAAAGACTAAAGTTGCATTTGATTGGAAAATAATGGTACTTCTATTAAAACATATTTTGAGTGGACAAAGAGTAAAGTTGCATTTGATTGGAAAACAGCAAGACAAAGCATGGTGGGACACCAAGATTAACACCTGAAATTCATATGTACTGCTACAAGGAAGTTAACTAAGGAAGCGCTACAAGCAGAAGCAATGTATAATGAAATGTGACATATTTAAAAGTTTACTACAAGTGTCAATATTGAATGATAAATTACAATTTACTGAGAAAGAAGGATATATTAACATCAGTACTACCTCATATGCAGCATGTTTATCAAATGGCAGAAATTTCATGTACCTTGTCTTAACTCACACACAGTACACTTACCTAATGCTAAAAGTTTTACATAGCCTACCCTTCCAAGTCAGAATCAATTCAGATATAGCTGGTTCATTTATTTTAAAGGTTTATTTCAAAAGCATGACAAGATAATGTATGGTGTTTTTACTACCAAAACAGATCTGTCCTAAAAATCAACCTGTTGCACAAATACACTGTATTGAAATGTCATTACCAAAACTTATATTAAATCTACCTACCAAATCACCACCACACGCGGTAATGCTGTTCTACTGCTAAATCTCTATTATATCATTAAAGTGCCCTGGTAATGGCCCCATAGAAAAGGCTTGACTTGGTTTTTAGGGCAATAGCACCTGAAACACTGTCTAAAAACAAACTGAGTACTGCCATTAGTCTAGCAGAGCACTAAAGAGAGTAAAAGTCTTGTTAAAGCAGGGAAGATGCAGCCAAGATGAAATCTTGGTCCAGAATTTGTAGGTGAGGGGTAAGGTTATTCCCCCAATAAAAGTGGAAGGTAGACCAAAGATAAAAGCAGCTTCCATACAGCACTGTCAGGAGAAAATAAAGTCTCACTGTACTTTTAAGGAGAGAGACAAGAGAGATGCTCAGACGTTCCAGCACTGTGGTAAGACAGCCAAGCAAGCACCTCCACAGACAGACAGAGCCAACATCTACAAAGAGCAGCAGGCAGTATGTCTGCACAATGAACCAACTCAATGCCAGGCCTAGGTGACATAATACCCTGTAATATCCTGACAGTATTACAGCATACAAGGCTCAGCCCTCAGTGAACAGTACTGGCAATCAAAATTCAGCAGTCCCAAACTACCTGCTTTAACTACACTGTCTAGGTGTGATCAACAGAAACCTGTCCCTCCCTCCTCCACTCCTAATCTCACTTTAGTTCTGCAAAATACATTGTCAGTAATGAACACAGGCTGCTCAAAAATGAATGTGATAAAGACATTTTTCCACAAAAACTATGTAATGAATTTACAAAATCCCAGGTTTTTTAGAAGCACCAATACATCCTCATTGAAATAAAAAGGCACCATTTATCTTATGATGTTAAGATAGATAATCTTTCACAATGGATATTCTGCAGCCTGCACCATAATATACTTGTGTAATATAGAATTACAAACCCCATAAAGTAAGTTGCTGCTTAGTTGCACAAAATGGACTAAGTCCACTGAAAAGCTGAAAAATCAACCCAGACTTACTTCATATATAGAGATGATTTGCTGATTCTCTTCCCTATCAGCAAAAAATATCATGCACAAATTTTCAGAAAAAAAAGCTAAGTTGTCTCTAAGCCTGTTAAAGTGGTATAAAGTTTATCCTATATACTATATAGTAATTACAAACCATGTAATACAAATAGAGTAACTGCTTCAATTATTGAGGTAAAATGTAGGACTATTTCAAACAGTATTTTTAAACCAATTAAAGGCTAGAAAACATTCATAAAGTTGGATACGTGTTTAAACAAAGCAACGCATATTTCACCTTGTTTGAAGAGAAATCTGAAGAATAAAATTCAAGTGTGTGATTTGATTTAGTATACAGTCAACTTTTCGTCTTGCAGAATGGCAAGAACTTGGTATCAGAGAAGCTATAGTAACAGTCACCAGAAAGAAAAATACTTTACTCATTGACACTCAAAAGAAATAAATGACCTCTCCAAAAGTAGATATGATACAAGATCCAAACATCAGCCACATCATCAATCCTGGTTCAACAAGGTTGATTGATAGGTCTTCAGTTGATAGCTACTTACATACCTTACTAAAGCTTCATATTCCAAATAAGCTGACCTTTTGCACATAAGTCTTTTTAGGAGACATGACAGACTGACTACTTATTAACTAGTTGGATAGGACTACTGACGTAGCTGACTGCAACACATCTGGATGACTTTTTGCCATTATTAATCAGCTTGTGCATTTCAAGATAAAGTCGCTTTTGCAACATTAAACACAAATTCTTCGAAACTCCAACACCTGATACTCTTGTAAGCAGTACCATATGCATGCAACTAAGAATGTATTATTTGCATAGTATCAAGACCGTGCTAGAAATTTCATTGTAACTTTTTGAGATGCATCAGCAGCAATGAGGCTGTTGGCAGAAAAAGAAGCAACAGAAAATGATGGCAGATTAGAACTGAACTGTTGGGTTAGAAAGTATGATCAGAAAGAAGGCAATATTTTAGTCCTTGTATTCCAAAAGTCACCCCATTGTTCCCAGTGTTGCTGGAAACACTTCAAAAAGGATGCTGATCCGCCACCCTGTGTCTGTCTGTCTGTCTCTGCCCCTCCCCTTCCAAAAAAAAAAAAAAAAAAAACCAACCAAAAAAAAACCCAAAACCACAACAAATCAGAGGAGTAATCTGAAGCCTGCAAAACATGTTTTACGATGCACAGGGAAAGGATTTCAGATTATCCATCCTACTGTTTCTCAAGACTTTCTGAAAGGACAAACTCGTTTTGGCTCATGGATCTTAAACAGTAGAGAGAGTTTTGATGACCAAGAACTTAAGGAAGGAAAAAAAGAACATTCTGAAACTGAATTTCATAGATTTGTATGATTACATACGTATACAAGCATGTACATATTTTTCCTCATTTTTTTTTTCCTTCCATTACTTCTTTCATTACACTGCTTACTAAAGTAGTGTGATCCTGCTTGAGCGTCCCTGTGAGCCCGAGAAGTGTCATAACTGAGCATAGGAAAATGCCAATGTTACTTATCACAGAAAATTCATTAGTTCATGACCCATTCACCTTTTGCATGGAATAAGGGCGCTGACACTAGTAGGCTGTCAGTTGTAACTAAAAAAGGCAGGAATGGAAATTATTATTATTATTATTATTATTATTACATCAACAGAAATACAGTTATTTGCATTATATTGCTTGATGTGCCAATACAGGTCAGGATTTTCCTGAAAAGACAAAGAAATAATAACATGGAAGTTCCTGTTTCATAAAGCCTGAACTTTTAAGATAACAGATGACAATGAGAAAGGGCAAAGCTTAAAAAAAACCTCAACGGTTTGGCATAAGTACAGGTGGACAGAAACTACCTGATGCCTAACTACAGTCAGGCTTGTTTTCAAAGAGGAAAGATTTAAGAATTATTTCAGGGGCAAGTAACTTTCTGCAGAACTTTTCCTAAGTCTGCAGCTCTGTGAGAGGATAACTGTGTCTTTCAAAAAGGTCTGTTTAAGAAAACAAAATGATAAAAGTGGTATAGCTGAGAGAATAGGTCAAATTATTCCTGCATCAAGTTACTCATTGGCAGCAAAATATATGAATCTCTTCCTGTCTTAAATCAATGACTGTACACCTAAAAATATCCCTATGAACAGGCAAAATTGCTGGTGCATCACTTATTAGGAACCTTATTTTTTGCAGTGAATAAATTTCATGCCTAAGTGAATTGAGACAGATCTCAAAACCAGCCACATCTCAATAACTTGCCCTACAGATTTTCTATACTGGCTTAAGAATATTGATGCAGAATCTATATAGTACATTTACAGGACAAATTATCAATAGTATTACCATCACAGATAACCACTCCAGCTTGCACAAACAGCATCCCTCTTTCTCTGCTTCCCACTGGAGTTACTCATATTTATGAACTCTTCTACTCCATGACTACCAATTTTCTTCTCTTTCTGTGATGGTTTGATCCTCAACACTGAGCGAATTTTGTAACAATTATTCTCAAATTCTAATTTAAATACTGTTATACTTTGAATATTACTGCTTCTATTTCAGACATAGGAAACTCTCTGTACACTAGAAAGCTTGTCTTGGAAAGCTAGTCTTTTTTTAATTATACTTGCTAACGATAGAGTAAAAGAAAGTCCTCCCTCCATTTTTTTTCTACAGAATCAAGTTGTATGAATGGCCTCTGCACCTTTTAGAGTTATAATTCGTTCACTCTACTGCCTTGTCAAAGGATTTGCAAAAGGCTATAAATATACCTACACATCAGCTGATAACTCAGCACTGATGACTGACACCAGTGCCGCAAGCATATTTATTTCAGGTCTTCTTAATGCAATTGTCAGACTTCAAGTCTAGGAGGAAGGAAAATTCATTCCCTTCCAGATTTTTTTTTTTAATACCTGCCTTCATTTCTTCACTGTCTTCCCCCATCTCCCATTTTATTATGCTGAATTTTACTTTGAGCTATCTAGGACATGAAGACACAAATAACATCATGTTGCCTGTACCCTACCCACCCTTAACAGCAGGCCGCACTTCCTACACAAGTTCCAGAAAGTCTGCAAACCCAGTGCATGAATTCCACATTCCAAATGTTACCTATACAACTGCAAGAAACAGCACTTGGTACATTGAAAGCAGATTCTGGAATATAGTTAGGCAACAGTCCAGGTTTAAAATGAAGAACTGCATGGCTAAGTGTCCATGTAAACTGATAGGTAAGGTTCTGCTCATATCAAGTCACTTTACTGTCATGCTATCTTCATGACCTTACACTGATCTTTCAGACTGAATAACCATATATATAGCAAGAAGAGGAACAAGTACTCCAACTACTTTATTGATGAAAAATACTACAGAACACGATGTTCCCAAATCAACTCACATAAGACAATTCAGCAATGTAAAGAACTGGAAACTGCCTCCAGTGTTACTGGTTAGCAAAAAATCCTTCCCAAACTCTTGAACACTGGGAAGTAACATAGCAATTAAAACAGTAGTGATCTGAGGGTGAGGAGAGCAGGAAGGATGAGACAGCCTAAAAAGTCAGTGAGTGAAGCTATGATTGTTCATTTGGGTTTCAAGAAAATTTCCCAAGGGGGACAAAAAAGCCATAACAAAAAACCCACAAAAAATCAAGCCAAAAAACCCCAAGATGTTATTTCAATTTGAGACAAGATTTTAAACTGCTGGTTTTGTTTTCCCCTCACTCCTCCATATTTTATTTCTGAAAAAAAAAAAAAAAAAAAAAAAAAATCTGCTGTTCGTTGTTCCAGTTTGAATATATTTCATCTACCTAAAAAAACAGTCAAGCTCTCAGTTACCAGAAATAAAGATTTTGAACTCAGAACTTAACAGGCTATTACGAGGATGAAATACACTCAAACTGGAATAATGATTAACACACAAATGTCCCTTTCTGAACCCAGTCAGCTCAAAGCTTTATTTACAGGGTTCCTAATGTTTAAATTCCACCACTTTTACTTAACAGGTATGGATCAAAGGGTGTTAACTTTGGAGGAAGTCTTAAGGGAAAGAACTTACCTATTGAGAAGGTAAGAACTCTTCCTAAGAAAAACCTTTAACTAAATAACTAGGGGGGGTTTGTTTGTTTTTTAAAATTATTTTTAGAATATGAACATCCATAATGTATAATGAAATACCATTAATATAAATAAAAGTGAGTCACAAATACACACAAACTACTATGTGCTGTACATCCAGGAATAAAGTGGAATGATTTGAAAGCAGCAGAAATGCAAGAAGGCCAAGCATATCAGTGTGAGGGCAAAAAGAATGGTGTGACACACCTCACTGCAGCATTTCTGGAAGCATCTCTCTTCCACTTTCACTTCCCGTGACACTATCAGCAGATACTCTGACTGCTGGGCCCGGCCACAGCTGTACTGGGAACCTATACTGACAAGCTGAAATAACCAATCAAAGCAAAACACAAGAAGAAACCTTTGTAAAGCTGAAGGACATACCATTATCCAAATCGCATAAATAACAGATGAGTTCAAATGTTCAGGTAATGGTTATTTGCCATGAGAACAGGCTGCTATCAAGCTACAACTTTCATTTCAATATACTTAAAATTCATGGACACAGTTGCAAAGCCCTTTGTAATTTCAAGGGAAGTTAAGAATTACTGATAGTAAGTCATAAAACTCCCCATATCACTGTGGTGTAGCCAGCTACTCTAAAAAACATAAAGATTGGTGCGTTATGAAAGTGAGTATTATTTTACTGTTACACCTGCCAAGGTAATGTGGATGTAAGAATGGAAGGTGTTACGTAAAGCAATATATCAAGCCTGGGCAAAGAGCTTCATCGTGTTCCAGATACTGACAAACAAAATACAGCTAAGGAAACATATGAAGTCAAATAGAGGTAAAAAATTTGAGTGCTCTAAATTGGTTTTAGAGGGGGTAATTTACAGAAGATTCAAGAAAATAATTGGAGTGGAAAAAATTGTCTGTTTCATTCCCATAAAAATCAGTATCAAGAACTCTGTTCACATTTGTCAAGCATCTAATAATTCAAAAGCTTAGAATAACTGCAATTAAATTTCTCAACTTATTATAAAAAATATTTTATCTTAATAATACATGGCAATTCCTAGCCCATTTAAATTAAAGCACAACCTGTCAGTACACTTGAGAAAGATTATATTAGAGCTTTAAATTAAGTGTGAAGAACTAGACAATAACTACCTATTCTGAGGAAAGTGGAAATTACTACTGATCAGAAGGCTCAGGAACAGTAAATTTATTTTTATCTGAAAAATAAATTATTGTTATGCTATTGTTATGTGTTATGTGAACAATTTCAAAGGCAGCAGCTAAATACCATCCTCCTCATATAGTGAACAGATTTAAGACAGCACTATGGTAACAGACTAGGGTTACACTAATCATTGAAATTTACACAACTGACATACCACTGCTGTCTAAAACCTTTGTAAGTAGCAATTTTGTATAGCCCAAAGTTTCTTATTAGGCAGTATTACCAAAATATTGTTTTTTTTCTGATTGCCTGAAGAGGTAATAATTGAAGCTAAAAATCACCGGCAAAATAACCCACTGAGATCACAAAAGTGAGGCAGCAAAACTGTTTGCAGCAGTTTTTGGACTGGGTCTGATACATAATTGCAGTATTCTAGCAGTGCTTTCACTTGTACTCTTTGGAAAAGAGCATCAACACATTCATGTAAGTGCTCCAGAAGTTTAACACCTTCCACTCCTATTTAATCACCACATCCAATTGTATTTTACAGTAAGATTTTGAAATGTTAAGGGGAAATAAATATTTTTGATCAAAACCAACCACTTAAACATGTTATATGGGGTACAGACCACAGGGACTCTGAACCCACAGGAATATTACTCCTCCGAAAAAGCTGATGACTTCTATCCCGCCAATGATAGTATGTAAAAAACACAGTAGGTGCCACCCTAAAGACTGCTTCTGAAGGAAGCATACTGCTGAGCAACACAGGTTTAGAAAAGATTAAAAATTACAGAAATGCTACAGAGTTTTCAAATCTTAACATTAAAACAAAAAATAGGAGATTATACAGAATATTCTAACCATGCTTCAAATGAATGATGTCTGCTAAAAGCAGGTCTGCAATACAAGCAAAGGAGAGAATAGCCTAGTCTGAGGAAATGAGAAGCTGCGTATTATGAGACCATGCAGCTGTTGTGTTTATCTACTTCAAACTGTGTGCCCAAGAGAGAGCAACATGGGGGAGGGAGGAAGTAGGGAGAAAGTTGGGTGAAACAAGGACATATTGTTCAAGAAAACCACTGGAATTTTCCAGTTCTAAAAGAGATTCTAAGTTCTAAAAGAGGTTATAATAGATCTTTCAGCAGTTGCGCTGTCAAAGCAGTATTACTCCCAAATGCAATGTCCCCAAAGAATACAACGCTTTAGGACAGGTAAAAGCCATAGTATAATTTCATCTGTTAGAAAGTAATGAATCTCTATTTGTAATGAAAACTAGTTTCTCATTACAAAGAAGACTGTCAAAAAACCTTTGTCAATGCACTGGTCAAAAACCAGTCATGTGCATTAAGTGAGAGCTTTTTTCAGGGACTTAAACAACATTCAGCTTCTGGCATGCCAAACAGACCTGGTAATACTTGAGCTGGAGAACGGGAGCGTAAGAAGTTCTCTCTCTGCTGGTTTAGTTTATTCCACCATAGCTGTCTCTATGACACCAGCACCTTACACATTTCATAGAATATAAACAAAACATCCTCTTTTACCTTTGTGTGCCATACTTTTAAAAAACATTGTTTTGTTTTGTTATTAGAGTGAGACTGCACAGGGTAAGAGGCTTGTGCTTATTCCAATCTCTCCTACAGTTGGCACCAAACACTGAAAAAGATGCTGGTGGCTGAGCACTTCTGTCTCACTCCAGAGATAACAGATTCATTGCTCCAATGCAGTTTAAATATTCTGGTAGGTTAGGAACATGAAGGAGGAAGAGGCCACGTAGTTAGTTTCTTATTTACAGAGATTAGCAAAGATAACAGAAAGACCTTCTTGCAATTTTACCATGTATTCTTGAATGTACACACAAAGATATTTTCATGTAGTGCAAAGAATTAAAACATTCACATAGCTCACACCTACTCAGCTTCATATCCACACTGATTAAGTTCACCCTCCTATGTGTATTAGTCCTTTATTTGAAGAATCATTGTTTAGGCCTGACAAACATTTATCTCCCAAGCTCACCTCTTTTCCCTAGAGCTCTTTATATCTGACCTATCATTCATAGAAACTTGTATTAGTTAATTTCCATTTATTCACCCTTTAAATGTTTGTGTGTAGACACTACGGAATTAAATTTCAAATATGATGTAGATGTTTTTATAGAAAGTCAGCACAATTTACCTCCTGGAAAGCTACAGTTTCTTTGTTCTCTCACAAATAAGAACACAAATTTCAAATTTTAACTTAATTGCATATCTTTATCTATACAATTTCTGAAAATGACTGCACTTAAAAAGATGCATAGAATTGACTTTATACTCCTCTTTCACATAACTGAATTTGTATAAGACTTTTAAATTATATCCCATATGGGTTTTTTTACCTGCTCAAATTTCCAGCCATCAGACATTGTGGAAACCATTTGAGTGAGTTCCTCTTCCTGGCACTGCAGCACCCTGTACACATGTTTGACTGGCACCTTGAAGAAGAAATATAAGATGCTCAATACAGCATGGAATTCACTATGTTTGTAACTTCTCTAAAGCTGCCCTTACTCTTTAGAAATGGTAAGCAACACCACCTTGAACACCTTGCCTTTTTTTTTTTTTTTTTTTTAAAGAAAGAAATTTCATCTGTTAAGAATCACTTTGCAGAAGACTCAATGCTTCATTAACGTTTCAGGGACTAAAAGTGCTACTTAACAGTTGTAACAAAATAATCTTAAGACAAACCTATTGTTCCATGTAGCTGCAAACCATATCATTCAAAAACAAAGTTAAGGTTCTGCAGAGGCCTAGCTAACTTTAAGGAATGTCAGGCCATATTAAAAAATGTCTTTATTTCCCTGCCAAAGTTTCCCATCCAGAGCAATGAATAACTAGGACCATTTCAGCTGAAACCCTTTAGAAAATGCTATCAGAGCACTCTGCTATCCCACAACCTGGTTTCAAGAGAAATATGGCAACATGAGCTTATAATATCTCCATGAAGACTCAATTATCAGGGAAGGCCAGAATAGCAGAGTTAAAGAATAAACCTGAATAGTTACTTATCAGTTTCTCTATCATATTAATGAGCTGCTATGAGAAGAGGCAGAGTCTTCTCAACTACCAAGCACTCCAAACAAAGAAACTAACTTTGCTACATAAGTGTATGACAGGAGCTAAACAGCACGGCTACATATGCTGCATAAACACACAGTATAAACAGTAGTCATACTGTAGCTAGGCAATCTCATCATATTCAGCATATTTGACTGTGTATGAGAAAAATATATTCTACAAAAGACGTTTTCCAAAATAATTATTTCCAGAAATGTTATTATGACAAATTCTACTACTACTAGACATTTTTTAACAATTCTTTAGAATGTTTGAAAAAGAATGTTCAAAAGTTTTGAACAAGAACTGGAACCATATGCCTGTGCCCCTTGTGAGCAGACTAGCAGGTACTGACAGTTAAGAATATTAATCTTTTGTGTATTAATTGTACCAGCTCAGTCAGTGATGGAGGCAGCCATTTGGTATCTTACTTGGGAAATGAATAGTTAAGGGAAAAAAAAATGGAACCCACCCACTACTTGCCATAGAACAAATAATCAAAAACACATTAGAAAACAACCTCACCTGTGAGATTTTGCTGTCTCTTTCTCTTATTTTGTCCTTTACCAGTTTTATTAGTGATGTAATATTGTAGAATTCAGCTTCTTCCAGTACACCTAGTACGAGAACATTTTTTTGGAAAGAGACTGTAATCAAAGATTCCGGGCCAAAACCACCAACCAGTTCCTAAGTTTATCTTCTCCACAGCTAGAGAAGATGATTTATTTTGCCCTAGGAAAAGTTAATTTACCAACTTAACGATTCCGGCTTCATTCAGGCACATGTAGTTCAAAGTTTAGTTCATTCTGAAAAACTGTCCTAAAAAAACCCCCCCAAAAACTGATGCTATTTCACATACATAACAAGAGGGAGGAAACAAAAAAAAGGAGCACAATTGCCATTCCATAGTAGACTGATGGACCACCATAGCACAGGCCTTGCCTCAGGCTGGATTATGAAAGAGAAATTCAAATAGTCCTACTGAAAAGCTCTGTAGCTGCAAGTGTGCAGAAAAATTTTCTTCCTGTCATTTGGGTTCTTAGACCTTGAAACAAAAGCTTAAAGTTACACACTACAGACTGCTCCCACTCACATGTTCAAGTCTTACCTGTTCTCCACACATACTATGTGTTTAAGAATGCACATGGAAATTATATTTCACATTATTTCCTGCTAATATTGTTAGATTGTATTTATCTTTGATCAATTTCTTTGACCATGGTGCTGTTTACATGGTACCAGGGCTACAGACAAAAGATGGGACACACCTGTCTCAGAAGGGGAAAACGATCCTGGGGCAAGAATTAGAGCGGCTCAGTGGCAGAGATTTAAATTAGATTGGAAGGGGGAAGGGGACATAACTGGGACTGCCAGTAATAAATCTGAGAGTTACATGCCTGAAGAGCACTGCACTGGGATTCCAGCCGCTCCAGCCAACAAGACAGATTCAACTCCACTGGGGGCCCAACTTAAAAGCCTCTATGCCAATGAACGTAGCATGGGGAACAAACAAGAAGAATTGGAAATGTGTGCGTGCCTGCAGGGATACGACCCGATTGGCATCACGGAGACATGGTGGGATGGCTCCCATGACTGGAGTGTTGGAATGGAAGGATACAGGCTCTTCAGGAACAACAGGCAGGGGAGAGGAGGAGGGGGTGTTGCCCTCTATGTCAACAACCAGCTGGAGTGTATGGAGCTCCACCTGGAGACAGATGAGAAGCTAACTGAGAGTGTACGGGTCACGATTTAAAGGGAAGGCAGGGAAAGGGGATGTTA